TGATCATTCCCACAGCAGCAGGCTTTGTCACTTAAACATGCAATACCACCCAAAGCTGTGGTGAACTTTCATGTGTTCACAGGACCCCCAAATGCCAGAAGCAGAATCTGAAACAGAACACAAACTCCTCAACGGTCTAAACAAGTTGGCGGAAGTGTGAAATCGTTACAAAGTTTGACATTTCTTAGTGACATGCCTGTTACCTTGAGAGATTGAGAGACACATTGATGCACCTGCCTGGATTAAATAACAGGGGATTTCAGAGATAAGGACATGAATATGGTGAACGTGTACAGTAGTCAGAGTGGGGTAGATAAGATGTGTAGTTCAAGGATTTGTGGTTCAAGGTGGATTTATTGTAGTTGGAGTCTACAAAGATTCTGACAGTGAGTGTCACATCATCAGAGGCTAGTCTGTTTGAGTTGAAGATCAGTTGGTTGTTCTGTACTTGTGAACAGCTTTGTCCAAGACACTGTCTGGTGTTGACGAAAGACACAAATCTGCATGTAAAATACTAATTGACAAGTTACTGTTAGATGCCTGGTCCAAACATAGTATACCATAGTCGGGGTTTGTACCCATGTACAGTCTGACACTGAGCTTACCACCCTTTTTACTGCATTCTACCCACCACCCCCACCTCTTTTAGTGCCGCCAGGCCTGCGTCTGTTGCTGCCTCTCTAATAAGAAACATTCGCACCCAGCACCATATAACCCACTAACATATCGCTACCTCTGATCTAAGACCAGTAAACACAGTCAATGAGGCAAGCCTCAACCACTTTACAGCTGCTATATGGTCACATAGCCCTGAGTTGTCATAACCCCTCATGTAAAAAACCAGAAAGTAAAAAAGGAGTACAGGGGAAAACAGCACTCTAGGGACTCTTTAAATATGTAGAATGTAAATATATCATGCATTGATCTAATAATGTGGAAATATCAAACAGATGTTGTATGATGTAAACAGAAATCTAGAAGTTATGTGTGTATTTGGTTAGGATGTTCAGATTCCCATTTGTCGGAGCTCTCCTTCATTCGCTGTTGTGGTTGCTTGACTATATAAGCAGTGTCTTTAGGTTTTCATGAAAACTTTAATGCAAGTTAAATGCATGTTTAATGCAAACAACCACACTCACCATCTTTAATCCCAATGCCAAAACAGCAAATTAAATTAAGTTCACCATTTTTTGTCAATTACCAGTTACAATGTAAAAAATTAACTTTTTGGTTGTAACTGAGCAGAAAGTTAATCTTTATATGTTACAGAATTTACCTGCTGCTTCTGTCTTCTCCTACATCATCTATAAACACTGGTGACCTGATGCCACTGGAAGCTATTGACGCTCATGCCATTGTACTGGCTCCACTATGTTTTACAGATGATGTTTTATTCTTCAATGATGAGCTTTTACAGATCTTCTGTATGCGTTTTCTTCTTCCCATCATTCTGGTACATTTTGAATTTAGGGTAAAGATGGAGAATGTTTTTCACCTGGCTGGAAGTCAGTCCTGCCAGTTACTGACCAAAAAGCTCCCAGGAGTGGTCGATACTAGCAGCTAGCATCGACCACTCCTGGGAGCTTTTTGGTCAATTTTATCAAGAACATCTTATAATAGGATCACTATAAGTGCAACGTTTGTGAACATTCAGACTACACCCATTATGAAAATATTATTTTTAAACTCCATATGTATCATATATCATATCAAAGCATACGGAGAGTTATGAGCACATTAAAATTTAACAGAAGCGTAAATACCCTGTCTAATCAATGAGTCAGGGCAGAGCTATGGATGTAGCTGCACTAGTCACTGTCTTCCACATGTAGATTTTCCTTTGCACCTGGGCGTCCTTCTTATTCTTAATCATATAAACTACAACACCTGTAGGTGTATGCTGCCCACTTCAGCACTGGAGGAATTGCAGACCGGGTACATATGTGGCCTAAGGTATCCACTGTAATGAAAAAGTACAGTAGCGAATTCAGAAAGAGTATTTTTCTCTATGTCAGACTGCACCTAACTTTGATCTTGACTTTCAGTTTGATTAAAACTAAATGAATTTAAAGTTTCTAGACTGTAATTATCATGACTGTGTCATTAACGTGTTGGTAAAATGCAGTGCTTAACAAATTTGTCATGAATAACAAGAAAACACAAATAATTTATAAATCTGTCAAAAACCTGTTTACAGATTTAAAAAAATACAGTTATTTATTGGTCAAATAAACTAAATTCACAGTTTTGTATCCAAATTTGAGCTGTTACAGTGAGAAGTCAGAAATTAATCAAGCATGACATCCAGCCAAAGTATTTTTTCTGATCAGGAAATGAACTGTAGTTTGGCCACTTAATCAAAAAATAATAATTTATCATTTTTTGTCTTTTTTTTGTCTTTTTTCAGTAAATTGATTGGATATCTACTGTAATTATACCTTAGCATTTAAAATATTTTGATTAAAGGGTTACACACATTATAAAAACAAACACAAACATTTGTTAGTTACCAATATTGTTAATTTAGGGCGGCTGTGTCATAAACCTTACTCTGGGTGGTGGTCTAATAAATTAGTTATGCACTGTGTATCCTGTGAGAATCAGCTTTGTGGCAGTTCCCACTTTGGTATGTGTCTCCAGAGCCACATTTTGGCATTACAAAGCCAGCCACTCAAGTGTTGCAATGCAAAATGACCTCAAATTAGATTTTATTGTGCAAGGTGCTATTTCTGCTTGCTGAGTGTCAGTACATGCCACATATAAATATAAGAACTTTTCACATTCATGGCATTTCACACAGTCTTTTTCAGCGTGTATATTGCTCATGTTCCCATCATGATGCCGATGAAAAAGTGATTTATCGATTGGTACTTAGTATAGCGTTGTAACAGTTCCCCTGGTGCAGTGTGCATAGAATAGAATAGACTCATTTCATTTTGAGACTCGCCTGGATTCTTGGACCCGCTCTCTTTCTTTCTAGTTTCAGTGCTGCTGTTTTTCATCTCTTTCTCACCAGTTTTTGGTCCTTTAGATTTAAGTTCCTAAACGTATTGTGAGCTGTACCCATTTTAACGGGTCTACAATTTGCATGGGGTTGGCCGTAGTTCTCCCTTCAAACTTTGTCCCCAAGCCTTTTGTAAACACACTCAATGCCTGGAAGCACTAAAATGCTGGAAGCATTTTAAATTGGTTTTAACTGCCTGCTACAACTGCAACATCTCAGTGTAGATTAGGCCTTATTGGGACTGGAGGGCATGTGGAAGCGTAGTTGACAGGATTAAGTGGCTATTGAAGTCACTTTAGCTCCTTTTAGAGAGCGAGAAACATGAAAAGAGAATAACTCAGCCCCTCTTTACAGAAGGGATATCCCCTCACTTGCTTTCTTTCTTTCTTTTGCCCTCCTCAGGCAAAGAAAGACACCAATCTACCAATAGGATCCTCAGACTTCTGATACCCAGAAAGAGTACAGCAATGTTAAAAGGTGTTTTCAGGAACCTTTCCATAGTTGCAGGAGCTGATGAATGTAGTACCCTATTATTTCTGTGTCTGCGCAGCAGATTCTAGGTCCTATTGTAGTTTTTAGAACTCTGTTTTTGGAGCTCCTGCTGTCGGTGTCTCAGGCATGCTATAAGAGGAACTTTTAGTGACATAGGCTTTCGTGATGGGTACAGATATAAATACAGCATTGGCAACTACAATTAAAAACAGTGTAAACAACTTCTTTCTCAACAGAGAAATGAACTGACAGTGACTCCCAGGCTTTGAGCCTGTGTGCACACAATTACTTTTGGGTTTTCATTCACACAGAATCGATTTATTTGAATATCACATTATCTCCACAAGAGGGCAAACCATATTAATGAGAGACATAAATATTTATTTATACAGAATGGACATCCGGTGCCCTGAGAGAACTCTGCTGTAAGAAAACATGAAACAGCAATTGTTTTCATTAATGCAAAATGAGCAATACTCAGGAAGTGCTCAAATCCTCATGGATCTGTGCTTCATGAAGTTTCCCCCCAAGCTTCTCATAAGGTTTAATAAATATCTATTCAGTCAGCACATATCAGGTTCCAGAGTTGCGACCATATACCGTCAGTCTTTCTGGAGCTCAGCTGGGTTTTGAACTCTCTGCTGTCATTACAACACGATTGTTGTTAAAATGTTCCAGACCTGAAGTGACCCCACCTTCTTTGAGCAAAGGATCAGCAGGTATCGGGGAATTTCCTTCTCTGTTTTTTTTAAAATATTTTTTTGGCTCGATACCAAATGTTAGCTGACTATAATATCTATAATTTACTTACTACTACCACTGACAATGCAATTTGTGACTTCGTAACATGGCATACTTGCAATTTAATTTTAAATTGCATTATCTTTATGTATACTTAGTCATTTGGGAATTATGTGACTAAAAGAACACATTATTATGTAAAATTGATTTTTACCTTCAGAGCTCATGGTAGGAATAAAGATCCGCACTTTTAAGACAAGTTTTTCTGTGACTCAGCACTAAACAACAGTGACTCTGATACTCATTCACTTTCTGCCGTGCCTAGATATTCAGCAGCGTGGCAATAATTAGCATATGAGTGGCTCGGTGTTTGGGTGAGTTTGTTCTCACAAAGACTGCCAAAGCACAGGTCAGCGTCTCTCATTCACTTCAATGAAAAGCTGAAGGGCAAACAGAACTCCCAAAATGAAATGCATCCAGACTTTCACTCAAGTCTGAGTGAGTCCTCCTCACTGGATCTCCATGAGTGTTATAAACACTACATATATTATGAATGCATCAACAGCCTTTAATTATTCATGGCCCTTAGCTACTTATTGATATTGTGTGTGCTCATGAGTAATATATGCACCAGAGACATGAATTAGTGCATTCATAGTACACCTGCCTGCCATTTCTATGTATGTACTCTGTGCACCAAAGCATGTATGTTTATGTCCTTACATCATCATGTCCTTATGTATGTGTATGTTGTTGTTGACAGAAAGGGCGGGTGGCTCCGGGCTGCAGTCTGGCAGTTGTATGCTGAAGCATGGCGTCATCACTATCACTCTGCAGGCTCCTCTCTGCACTACATACCCCGCAGGGCAGTTCTCTACTGCCCTGGCAACGATGAGCGAAAATTGAAGAAACTAGCCTCACTGGATGTCGACTGTGCTGTGCTGGACTGTGAAGATGGAGTAGCCCTCAGCAAAAAGGTACATAAGTACTAAGATGCATGCTTGTAAATGAAATTCAGCTTGGTATTAATAGGATAGCGGGGAAGCCACAAACACTCCCATAGCTGTCTGATCTTGGATATATTTTAATTCCCATATCTCTCTATCAGACAGGTGCTTGGTCTTAATCACTCAAAGGAAAACTACCTAAGTGAGATGTTTATAACAAGCACATTTCACCCCATTATGATAGTATAAAGACAGCGCTCCCCCCCTCAACCGCATTAGAGTCATTTAAAACAAGGTGACCATGTCCCACTGGGATAGCAGTGGGAAAGCACCAGATGCAGCAGGTTAAAAGCATTCTCCTCCTGCCCACGCTACCTCCTCATTGGCCCTGCTGGACTTCCCATGAAATTGTGATTGGAGAGTGGGATAAAGAAGGGGCCCGGGCAAAAAGTTAACTAACAAAGGTTTTTAAGTCATGATAATAAAGATGATTGATATGGCTGGAGGCTGTTCCTGTAGTAGACAAAGACAATAAGATGATGGCCTGTGTGACTGACAGCTAAAACTGTGACCCTGCGATGGTGTTGGTGGGATGTAAGAGCTTCTGTCTTTATTGTGTGATAAAGGAGAATGTGGAGAGGAATGCAGCACTGAAGGAGCCATTCAGGCTTCAGATGCTGGACTGTTGCACTGTCAGCAGGTCCATGTCCCCATCTTCCTTGTGTTTAAGCAGAAGTGTTTTGCTCCAGCATATTCTTTACACCAACATATTCATTTCACCTGAAACATGAACATTTTGGGGGGCTGAATTTGTAGGCAACAATTGCAAATTCAGAATTTTGTTTTTCTCATTTTCAAAAGGTCTCCTCTGTGTTAGCTACTGCTGGGTTGTGCCTATAGCCCCAGTATGTGCTTTTACAAATAAAGTGAAAATGTACATAGCTACAGGATATACCCATTTATTCAAACTGCAGAGTAATGTCCCTCAGCAGGCATACCACTCTACCTTCCACTACTACTTCTCTGAGTAATTCACATAAAAATACCAATACATTAAATTCTGGAAAATAGTATTGTCCACCAGTAGTTTCCTACCTAATAATCCCATTACTTTCTCCTGTCTGCACTACACTGCAAAGCAGAACATAGCGTCAGAACAGATTTGAGCTTTTGACACTTTTTGACATGTTGGCTTTCAGCACAGTGTGCAAAAAGTCTTGTAGCCTATTATGTGTTTGCTAGGTCGTGCTGTGTAATATAAAAATTAGTAATATACTCAATAACAAAATGCACCTTCCCTACTGGCACCCTTTCTTCACTTTCCACACTCTTGGCGTCTTTCTCCACTGTGGCAATTGGAAATCCATGGGGGATGTTGTGTAGTTCTACCTTCCCTTAAGATGATATTTTTTCCTTTTCGATGAACAGTTCTTTGTGTGAATGTGTGTGTGTGTTTCTGTGTGTGTGTGTGTTTGTGGGTTTCTGGGAATACCACAAACATTTGTTTTGGATTTATAAATTTCTATGTGGAAATGAGTTGACTGAAATAATTGTTTTACTTTTCACTGTGTGTTTAAAAAAAAAACTTTTTCAAATTATTTTCATTACATAGCCTGGGGGGGTATTTATCGCGATTTTTTTTTTGACCCCTTTAAACCATCAAAGCCAGACTGACAAAATATTGTCTTAAGTCTGGCATTATTTTCAGCGGTTCTTGTGGAGAGAAGCAAAACACGTGAGGAAACAGGTGCTGATACAAATTTTTACATTTATTGTTTTTGAGAAATTAAACAACTAGTTAAAGGAGGTGAAAAATCTTGTCAAAAGGTGTTACATGCTTCAGAGGTGATGCACTTCTAATGATGCACTTCTAATTGATGCCTGCTGCCTACAGAGGCTGTGTAATGGCTCATATTTGATGCTTTATGGTTATATCTACACCCAAAGCATACTTTTATGCTTTTATGATTATTTTATTCAGTTATGCACGCATAAATCCAATAATTGTTCATTAGGCTCTCAGTGCTGCTAAAACACAGACGAATTACCTGACAGCTCTGTACATAAACACACCTGGAGTCAGTGAAAGAGAACTGATGCTGCTCTTTTGACGGACGTTGTGTAATGTGCGCACACAGGTTGGTTGAGAGACTATTTACAGTTTATTGACATGAAAACTCAACACACCACTAAAAATATTATTAAATATCTTCAAAGGAACTTTTCGTTTAGTGCCAAAAAAACGTTGCCTGTTACTTTTTTCTTCCACGTCTTCCTGTTTTTATGTGCTTTCTCTTGCGGCTCGTGGCTCACAGTAAGTTTAGTCAAGTACCTACATTAAAATTTTTGCCAATTTTTGATGCGTTTTGGCTCCTGCTTAGTTTTAGGTTTGGATGTGTTTGTTGGAAGTCGCTGTGCCAAAAGCATCTGCAGAGTAAATGTAACTTTATGCAAATCAGATGCAGATGCTGCTGCTGGACACGCATGCATCTTACTGCCCAAGTAAATACCAAGCTCGATTGAATAATGCACTGACACAGTTGTGTGTACCTAGTGAATGGTAATTTGCAGGAAGCGTTGGAAGCATACCCCGTAATTGCTTGTCAAAAATATTACCCTTACCCTGTCTTTTATTAACTCAGTTTGAGCTGTGCGTTGGGACCAACTGATCTATAAATGGATGAGAGTTAGCTATTACAATGTGGGTGTGTGTCTGCTGACAATTTCAACACCGTATAGCCTAGAAACGATTATCTTCACCATGACAACTGCACAGTCTGCACTGTGGGTTTGGCAAGGCATGCCAGGCTTCAACAATGTCCTAAAGTCTCATAATGCATATCTAATGGGAGCAAAGCAATGACCCAGCTTGCTAAATGCCATTCTGAACCACTGTTTTGATGAATATAACAATGGCGAGATGGCGAAATGTTGAGTGCAGTTACTGAGTATGCATGAGTAGGCCTTAAATGGGGCTACTGCCCACCACCACACTCCTATTATGTGTTCATTAATGTATTCTTTTCATTATCTTTCACCTTCACCTTAAAACAGGAAAGGATGTTCATGACAAAAAGGTACGTGGTGAAAGTCACTCTGGCCCCCCCTCCCCTTTTAAATTGAAATCCAGGAATGCTGGCTTTAATTGCCTGCCACTTTGACTCTAAAAATGTCTGCACTCCATCTTGGCAGTAATGCTGGCAGCCTAAGAGGTAGGGAGAAAAGAAAGGGAGTAAAGGGTAGGAGCCACCCAGAGCTTGCTAACTGTCGCCACGGACCCAGAGGGGAAAGAAGGAGGAGGTGAGAGGGGAGGGAAGACAAGGCTGACTGCTCTAACACTCTTACACATATCATCATATCTGTATGATCAGTGGGGTGGAGGAAAAGGGAGGGCAGGTTGAAACCCCAGAGCGGAACTGACGGCTACACCTGTCCTCTCTCCTCCTCACTCCCTCGTCGTCTTGTTCTTTACCGTCCCCCTCTCTCGCTCGTCTCCCCTCTCTAGGGTCCGCAGGGTTAAGATTGTTTATGTCTCTCTCCCCCCATGTTCTGTCTCCGTCTCTTGGTGCCCTTTGGTCCAGTATTCCTCCTGGTGTTTCTCTTTCTGCCTCTCTTTTCCCCACATGGGTCCCTCCATCCTCCATGACTCCCCCCTGCCTCCCTGCCGCAGAGATTCTCTCCTAATCCCTGGAAGTTTGGAACTAATGAACTAACTGCTGAGCCGCTGCCACGGAGCTTGGTCCCAAACTATACTGTACTTCACACTCGATTTCCTCTCCAGATGGCATAGTGGCGCGGCCGGCACAACGGGGAGCACCTCTCACACACCCGCACGCGCCTGTAAATGCACACAAGACCAGCAGAATACAAACATGCACACATGCATGAGTGTGTACGTGTAGTCACATACGGACATTCGCACACAAGTACACACAGATAAACACATACACAGATTGTTACAGTTGGTATCCCACTGTACATCAGTGTCCTGCATTCATTTCAGTATGTTACTGAACTAGGAACAGTTGTTAGGGCTTGAAAGGAGGTAATTCACTTTAAAGTGTAGGTAGTATATACAACTAAATAGAAAGTTGGTGAATAAATGGAGTAATCAGAGCCCAAAGTAGTGTTTAAAGTGCTAATATGAACAGAAATCGGTCAGTAGTAGACTGTAAGATTAAATAAACAGAAGGTTGTGATTACAGCCATACACTGTACCTTTGGTTTTGCATTATTAAATCTCATTTATATATAATACTCTTACATTGGATGCACAAAGTCTTCAGGCCTCCATAGAATAAAATGCAAGGCAAACTAAAGCATTAACACATGAACAGAATATTGAATGTGACACTTTTACGACAAAAATAAACAAATAAACAAAAGTCTTGTTTGTTAGAGGGCAGTTGTCTATAGGTGGATAATAATGTCATGCGCCCCCTGTAGTCTAAGAAAATATGATTTTTTTTGACCAAATTGACCATATTTCACATTTTCAAAATGAGTAATCAAATTATATTTACAGCACTTTACATTGACTTTACTTTGTGCTCTACTTAGTGACTTAGGAAGTGATGGTTAAGTGCAAATGACAGCATCTAATTCGTAATGCATAGTGTTAAGCCAGACATTTCTCTCTCTTTGTCTTTTCTCTGTAATTCTGTTTTTACAGTAACACTAATATCCACTGGTCTTGGTACTTTCAGTTGAATGACACATTGTGGAGTGGATGTCATCATTATAGTTGTATATTAACTTTATCTCATTGTCAGTCAATGCATGAGCTATGGTCTATGCATGAACTGTGTCTGACACCAGAGAATTGCAACTTAACATAAATTATGCAGCCAACTGTCAACTGATACGTGACCTCAGTTCACTGCTCACTGTGTTGTTTCAGAGGACACTCAAAGGCCCGCTCCCTGTTTAAGTGGATTCAAATGAATAAACTCTTGACAGAAAGTGCTCCTGGGGAATAATGGTAACCGGTAGAATTATGAATGCTAAACATTTCTATTTATTGTGTATTA